TAGCTCCTTTAAAAGATATGCTTTGACAATGGAATCACTTGAAAGTAAATCAATATTCATTTTAAATTTTCAAAATAAATTATATCATTGAAAAGTCTTCTACACAATCTTTTACAATCAATAATTCAATTATAATTAAAGTCATTTCTCTTGATAGTAAAATTTCTTAATATTAATGCATGCACAATTTTCGCTCTTAAATTTTAACAAATTGTAAGTCGAGTCAATAGAACGAAACTAAGTACGAAATAATGGTAATCCGTCTCGATTTGCTAATTATTCTTTTTAGTGAGGATTTTCAGGTTTAATCCTTCCGTGTTCGTTGCCTAAGCTGCTTCTGCAGTTTTGGCCACATTTACAGACGAACCCAGATTCTCGTTCTAAGCGGTCGCTAGGCACCGGTTTTCGGGTCAGCAGAAAACACAGGCAACGACCGATCGAAATGCAGTTTTCGATGTCGTGACCTGGATCCGTGGTACGTTACGTGTCGAGCGAATGCGATGACGAGGAACGGCGCGGAACCTCGGTTGTCCAAACCAGTCCGTGGGAGCAATACTTTTTAATTCGGGAACAAAATACGGTAACCATATGCGTCACTTTTGGCAGGACTATTCCGTCTTTATACAGTTTGTCCAGCTACCCGATTCCGGTGTTGAGAGGATAAACCACATTAGGAAGCCAAATATCGAGTGTTTTTCGTGATTTATTACGGAGAAACATTTACTTAATCTTTTTTTTAACTACGAGGTTATTTCTGGTATTAGTATTTTAAAGTATATACAGGGTGTCCCAAAAGTCGGGGAGGAGCCGGAAATGGGGGGTAGCTGAGACGATTCTGAACAACAATTTCCTTTGCAAAAATGTCGGATGGGGCTTCGTTAAGGAGATATTAAGAGAAAACCTCGACCAATCAGAGCGCGCGTAGACCGTTGGAGCGGCTGCGGTAGCGAAGGCTACGCGCTAGGCGGCAGCGTCAATGTCCTTCGATGCACGTCGAGTCACTTGTTCGCGTGCAAGCGCGGCCACCAGTGCGTAGCCTACGCTACCGCGGCCGCTCCAACGGTCTACGCGCGCTCTGATTGGTCGGGGTTTACGCTTAATATCTCCTTAACGAAGCCCCATCCGACATTTTTGCAAAGGAAATTGTTGTTCAGAATCGTCTCAGCTACCCCCCATTTCCGGCTCCTCCCCGAGTTTTGGGACACCTTGTATAGTCATTTTTTCAATTCATTTCACACTGAGATCTTTGAGATATCAGCTGTTTCTTATAGCAAGTTTTAATCCGAATCTGCTATCGGTGGGAATTTTAGTGGTTCCGATTGTTATCCGAAATCAATATAATTTTTGTTTTACATTATCTGACATTAAGAGGGGACTCCAGTGTAACAGTTTTAAAAATAGGTGATTTTCATGAATTACTTTTGGAAAACTATTAATAATTCACAAATAATCTTTCTTGGGATATGAAGAGGCTTATCTGAAATGAAAAAATTAAAAAGCATCTTCATTAATATTAGCGACGCTATAAAATATAATATATTTCAAGTAGAAAAAATAGCTTCATATTTACTAGGTAGATATATAAGAAAATGATTAAGATAAAAATTTGAAATTTTTAGGGCTTCTTCCTATTATTATAAGTAATAACTCCGTCGAATTTCAAATCGTTTCATCAATTCTTAATGGAGTTCAAGAAAATTAACAAATGGAAGCAATTTTTGCTCAGATGCAAGACATTTTTTTAGTAGAGATGATTAAATTGAAAAGAGTGACAAAAATCATCAAAGTATCATTGTTTAATATTCATCTTATAAAAAATATATAGCATTGGTAAATAAATAATTCCTCGTTGTAAAATTCAAGTGCAGGATTTGAATGTGAATTCAGGCTCCGCAGCATTTTTGAACCCGGCCCCGCAAAAGGTCACGCCGGCCCTGGGTGTGTTAATATTAAAATTAAAAGCTGAAATTTTACAGGAATATTTTCTTATGTATTCGCAAGGTATTTAGTGGGCGCGTAACAGAGATTTAAAAAAATCATTAAAATAAGGACCATCCTAGTATCCATGTAATCCTTTCAATGGAAAAGTATTTTCGAGGAATCCATGAAAAAGAAACTTGGAAATTTACGTACCAGAATGTACTCGTTTTTGTTCGTGTCATTCCACGCCAGCCGGTTCAACCTTTCACGGAGGGTTCCACTTTTAAATACCAGTTTGATCGAGCCGGGCAAAAATGGGTGAGATTTACAGTAAAAAGTTATCGTAATTAAGATGAAAGTCTCGCGATATCTACAAATTGAACGTAATAGCTACTTTCGAATAATCCAATGCTGTGTAAGTTCCGCTAGTAAATCAGGGTTAGTCTCTTAACGTGACATTGAATTCTCAATGAAGGAAATATTGCTCCGAAAGTTTCGTGAATATCTCATCGATCATTCCATGATCAAGTACACGAGCTATCAAAACTGATCCGAAAATCTACAGATTAGATTAAATCGATCCGTGAAATGTGACAGTCGTAATAGGCCACGTAACCGTCAGCTTTATCGAGAGGGAAAGATAAAATTTAACATTTTGATCGCAACGGCTGCAGCACTACGTTTTTTGCGTATCTTTTTTTATCGGTTGCATCCAATACTTCGTGATTTTGTAATCAATTACCCAATCTTGTCCGGAAGAATTAAATGGATTTATTTATTTATTGTTGCATCAGCCTGTAAGTCATTAGCGACCATCGTGAGTTAACATTCTCACTAATTATATTGACATATAAGTCACAAGTAATTTACGCATATAATTATTTATGGTTAGAAGTATCAACTTTTTCCACCTAACAATAATTATGAATAATATTTAGCATCAACAGTTGATTTTCAGAGGTTGTAGTGTTTTATAAATTTCTCGTTTATACATCCTTAGATATTTTTGTTCTTTGTAAATAAGATATTCAGGGTAATGAAAATTGATCGAATGTCATGCAACATATTTCTAATTTCATTGGCAAATCATAGATAACAGATTTCAAGAAACGCAATGGTATACTACATCTGAGAGGATTGTTTGTTTAATAATTGAAATAATTTGAACACTACAGCTTTCTACTATTAGCTTTTGCTCCATCAACGGTAATACAGTGTACAATTGGCCTACAGTAACAGTAACTGACGTATTAGAGCATGATATATGTTATTAGTATTGTATTATCAATTTTTATTTTAGTTTTTTAAAATATTTTTTAAAACATGAATTCTATTCCACTAGTACGAATAATTGGAATGGAATTTTGTAATTAAAAGGAATAAAATAAATGTGAAGAAAAAGTAATAGAAATTACTTACGATAATGAATATAAGTACATACATCTAAAAATAACTAAATATATACATATATATATATATATATACAAGTATAAAATACAATTAAGTAGCTATATATCTAAAAATAAAATTATTAGACATAATGAAACCATTACGATTTCAATAATAAATTTTTGTAATTTTCGAATGAAACTTGCAGAATCAACAGATAAATATATATACATATAACGGTTTGTTACTAAACAAAAATGTCTCACTTACAAAAAATTCACAAAGTTCGCTCCCTTTTGCCTGTCAAAAGTGTATCTAACCCCTTATTTATTTTACACGTCGTACTAAAATACCATTTTGTTGACAATGTATCGCCGCACAACTCGAAGGATTTTTGTTTAATTAACGTGGTAGTGATTTTCAGTTTAGAAGAAGAAAGCGAAAGCAATGATGTTTAGAGAACAAGCGTGACGCTTAGCAGCAGTTTTAGCGCAAGGATTCTCTGAAGATCTTCTCTAGCGTTGCATCAAGTCAATTAAATGACGCAACAGCCGCCGCGCATCTTTCGTCACACTTCTCACGCTTATTCGACATCGTTCTCCCTTTCGCCTCTGAAATTACTACGAAAACAATCGTCGCATCCGTGTCCGCGACACTGCGACTTTAATTAAAAGACAATCCGCGCAAACGAACAAGGACGCGTTTCAAATTTGCGCGGGAAATCGCGCGCGCCGATTGGTTCGTTCTCTCGCTACCGTTTCCTTCAGCAAATCATGCGGAACGCGGAAAAGACAACCCTTCCGACGATTACGATTTCTGTACGATTGAGGTAAACCAACATTTTTTCCAGATTTTTCTTCCTCCTTTCAATGTGCTTTTTCAATCAATGTTTAAACTGAATAAAACTATAGAAAACACGGAACAAACTTGTAGAATTTTCAAAAATTGGACAAAGCTGTAACTCGTGTTTACAAGTATTTTTATTTGACTCTACAAATTGAGAAGAAGTCTTATCTATCGTTAAAATTACGTGATCGTTTCTAAACTTCTAGAAGAGACGTTTTCCTTACATGGAAAACATATTCTTAGGTTTTAGTCAAAAATAAAACTATTATATTAACATTCTACTAACATCTGTTAACGTCATCTATCACATCATAACATTTATATTTCTTAAACATTCCTCGTTACCACAAGATACGAAGAAAAAGATTCAACGAATTGTGTTCCTATTTACAGAACTTTAATATGCAAAGAAACGAGCGAGTCACGAACGACCAGATTAAATATTTTAAAAATATTAAAAGGAACTATTTTGATAAATAGTATCAATCTAAACGTAATCCCCCACATTTCAGATAACAAATGAAAGTTTCGTGCAAAGAATATTGGTGGCTGTCTATATAAAACATGACACATTTCACAATAAGAATATCGTTATAAATATTCTTATCTGTTACGCTTCTGTAATGAATCGCCATGTGCACTAATGAAACCATTTCTAAAGTTTCCAGGCAGACGTCCCTGATTCTTATTAAATATGATTAAGCTGAGATCAATCGTGATCACGTGACACTCGATGTTCTAGTAAACATATTACACTAGTTTACAGCCAAAATGTACATTCAATGCCACAATTTTTTTCATTTGGTTCCTCATCAGAGAAACGAACCCAAAGAAGAACAGAAGACAAAGTAAAGGCCGAAATTATTTCTAATCGAAATTAATTCAATAAATGTTTCCTATATAAATAGAAAACAAATACAAAAACAGAGTAAAATTGGAATTTTTGTACCTTTACTCAATTGTTCCTAACTCCGGTATTTATCCATAGATTTTCTTCAACAAAAGCTCGATCTCTTCGTAAAAGTGCGATCTATACGTAGACAATAAGAAACTGGACGTAATTTGACGATTTCCATTTTTCCATGGCGATGGAAGAAATATTCGTGTTCGATTTTAGCCGAAAAAATCAAACTTTCTCATATACATTGGCTCGTAACACTTAAACTATTGAATCGATTGGAAAATAATGTAAAAAACAATGGTTGGAAATTAGATTACCTTTAAAATGGCGTCTTGCGCGACTCAATCGGACGTTTCTAACTCTAGATATGGGCTAAAATGTGAACGTATATCAGAAAAAAATCGAAAAAAAAATTCAAAAATTCATATAAAAAAAACCTATCCATAGAAAAATTTTTTCTTCCGATTTTCGAGTGTAGTAGGCCAAAATACATAAGAAAAAAATTGTGACATTGAATGTAGATTTTTTCTTTCTTTTTTTATTTTGTAAACTAGTGTTATTTTCTTTTAGAAAACAATGTTAAAATACAAGTGGACAAGAATGTACATTAATGGGGTTTGAAGAGGTGAGAAATGGGGAAAATATCCGGTCACGGAGATGATCGAACGGAGAGGAACGTGCGGATCAGGACCGACGGCGGAGTGGGGATAGTCCGGTTCCACGCGTCTCTGTAAGCGAACGGCCAAGCAGTCCGTAGCGACGCGTCCCGGGCGCAGGTCGCTATCATGGTTTTCGTACGGTTTGACGGTGATCGGCTCGGTGCCGTGGTGCATTATGGTTTCGCGATTCTCTATCTACTATTTGTTTTCGTGCCGCGCCCCGTCACTTGCCAGGAAACCCTTACCAATCGGATGCGCGTGATCAGCGAGGATCTGGACCGGCAGCTGAACGGAATCATGGCCTCGCAGGGTCTCACTTACTCGACGGTGAACACGTCCGCGGTGCCCTACAAAGCCACCACGGAGTTCGACGCCAAGGGCATGGCCCAGCTGTACAACGTGACCAACACGTTCATCGACTTCGTACAAAGCAAGCAAGCGTATCCGGAGGGTGAGTCCCGAGATTATTTTGCTTCTACGTGTACGCATCGTACGGATCCTTGGTTAGGGTTAGGGACAGCTTTCCGCGGCCTTGGTTACGCCCTGCGCGCTCGAAAATGGCCGGCTGCTTGTTAGTAAACAGATCGCTGTCAAAAAAAAAAAAAAAGAAGGTGGAACAAGTCGAGAGGGGCATTTACGCGCAACGCGAATCCTAGCCTCGGAATTAGCATCAGGGATACTTTTACTTCGTAACCTTGTCGACGTGAGAAATACTCGGAACGTGTTGTCAGGATTTTTTTTGCGTTTTTTTTTTTTTTTGCACTAGTGCCTTGCGCGGGACAGTATTACGCGCGGGCAGCGAAGCGTAGTCTTCCGTGGAAATGGAATCATGTTCCGAAAGGAAGTTTCATTTATTTTCGTTTGGCTTTGTTGTCTAATCGATTGTTTTGCTAGATAACGTTAAATTCGACGTTAAAAAAACAAATCATCGAAGAGCGTTTCTAAAATAGATGAGAGATTTTTGTACGCAGAATCTCTGGAGTAATCGACAAACGCGAAATGTTCGGTGAATCGTCCTAAATAAATAATGATTTCGTTAGTCAATTCCATTGGAAATAAGATATTGAACGTAGAGTGGAATAATAATCAATAGACCGCGGATCTTTATGCATTTATAGGAAATTTGAATGCGCAAAAAACTACAAAATGCAAACAATATGCAAGATTATAAAAAAGATTGAAAGTAAAGTTGATGTTATAATATTTGCAGAATAAAATAAATTCCTATTCAGATTCAATCTCTGTAGGCGCGTTCGCGAAGATTTTATTTTCCATAAACATCCGCAGTCTAATAATCAGCATTCTATTTTTGATTGTATTTGTACCCTTCTTGTTACATTGTCAATCTACAATGAATGAATTTTATAAATTCCCTTTGTATCAACTCTTCACGTGTTTACGGTTTCCCATCATCGCAAACCTTCAAATTTCGTGCGACCGCGTACAAAAAATTTACTGGAGTTTAACTCGGTGATTTTGGTGGCCATAACTGGGTCTACATCTGCCAATTCATCTATATGGGAAAGGGAAACGGACAATCAATATAATTCTTATCCCTGTTCCAGTATTAAATAATGCGCTATTAAGTACACTATTAACATTATCTCAACAAACGGAAGGTCGACAACCTAAACAATATGCCAAAATTATCGTTTCAGTGTAAGTTCAGGCGCGAAGCCGCCTTTTAAAGTTTGTCAATCTGGTCTATACGTTATTCTCGTATTTTCAAAATTAATTATCTCGGAAATTGAACGAGCAAGAAAACTAAATTCTATATTTTCGAGTTATTTCTGAACGAAGAATTGCTGGTTGTGTTACTAATTACGAATCACCTTGTATACACGCCGAAAACAATTTACTAATGGAATACTGTACCGGAATACATTGAATTGTACGTTGTAATGGTATACAAGGTACAAAAACTATTTTCTCATTGTTGATGTTTGTTATATACAAATAGTATATAAAATTAAATATTGGTACCAACAAATAAATGCAACTAAACGGCCTATAGTACTAGAAGTACCAAGTTAGTCAATTTGATTGATGTATGTTGTATCTCCTTTTTGAAATTATTCGAATATTAACAGTGCCTTTGCTACAATTTTGAATGGCAATTATTAAACTGGAATGAAGGCCAATTATATTGATAAATTGATTTTCTCTTTACTCTGTAATCTTAAAGATAAAGTAGCATGTTTAACAGGTATAGATTGTCCTCGGCAATTGTAGTGATAAATAAAATACTATACAGGGTGTTCATGAAATTACTAGCCAGCGTTTTTATCGTAAATAGTAAATATTAGAAAAAAAAGTGATACAGGAAAAAGTTTCATAGTTTTCTACGACCAACATAATGGAATGTATCATCAAGAGCCGAGTCGACAGAGAAATTTCCAATACATTAAACGTAACAAATACTGAAATTAGTCGATAGTTAGTCAATAATTTAGTAGCGAATAACAACAAGAAACAAGTCACATTGAACTAGGCCGTCAATAAAAAAAATACTCTGTAAACACATTGAAAGAAAATGCACGTATTTCTTTGATTTCTGATTTCGCAGGACCAGAAAGGTCATTATACATTCAATATACATTCCTATTACACGATAAAATACACAGCATTCCATTTAAAAGATCCAATGGCACTAAAATTTCTCCAAAAATATTGCAAATATTTAAATATAAAAATTGATATGCATCATTCTAGTGGTCGTAGAAAACAAAAAACTTTTTCCTCCATATTATTTGTCTAATACTCAGGAAAAAAGCAGTGGTTAGTATTTTCGTAAACACTCTGTATTTCTCCAAAAAGATTTCGTTCGTATTGCATCGATGTAAATACTATCTATGAAATTTTACTCGTATCGCTGTAGTTTGCCAACAGCTGCTCGTTGGTGAATTCCCACGCGAAACGGTTCATTAAAAAACACGATAACTTGCTGAACTATCCAGATCAATGACCCTTTCGTTCGCGTAGGAGCAGGGCCCGTGCATCTATATCAATTCTAGCAGGAAGTTGATAGCGAGACCCTGACGTCTGCTGTCTACTCACACCCAGGCCTTCCTATCCGTTCTTCGGCAACACTTTTTCCCCTCCTTCGTAACCGTTCTTCCGATTCGGAAGAGGATCGACAATGGAAGAGCTGTCGATGATCTGTTTATTTACGTCTGACAGCAGTAACTCTCAATCGACGTTTACCTTGCCCCTTTAAAAACAAAGCGACTTGATTTGTAATGCTTGGATGAAAGCCATTCCGAATCGAAAGTCAAGGTTGATTTAAATTCATATTTTACGGGTATTTTCATTTTGAAACGTCATTTCTCAGGTTTCGCCATTATCGTACGCTCGCTGGGGTTTTGTTTTTTTTATTTCACTCGACAAATCCTTGTTGATTGTTGAAAATTTGTTGTTCATTTTTAATGACATTTTTCATATTTTCATAGCCACGTGAAACTTGATCTATTTATCCATAGTTAACTTGACGATAACTCGACGTTGGATCATCCGAAAGCTAGAAATCAAACAGATTGTTAAAATACGGTTTCGTAGTTATCGTCCGTACTAAAATTACGATTATTCGTCGCTGTGCATGTTCTTAAATGATCAAAGTTAAGAAAGAATGTTGAAAACATTCGAACGTCCACCATTTTGTTGGTAGACCCAGAGTTGTTTGATTGAAGTACAGACGATAGCGACAAAACTAAATTTTAATAATCTGTGTTGATCGCGGAAAAAGAGGCCGAGTCTAAAGTGGCTACATCGCCTCGAAACATAATATAAATGATAATTTAATATTAACGATAACTCGTAATCTATAATTGAAATAGAAATAAACATTACAAAGAACAAAAGTGTAGAAAAGAAGAAATGCGTTTCACGTCTGCTATATTCGCTTCTTTCGCGTTTTACACGTTCATTTTACATAATATTTAGACAAAACACAGGCTTGTTTAATTCTGGGATAACAGTAAAGAAGCTGATACTAGCCAGATCGAGCAAACTGACAGTTAAACGTTTAAAGTCCATTACGTGCCGGTGTCGTATTTATAGGAAATCCAAAAACAAATTTGTTTGCTCATATTGAAATTTATTTGAGTACCAGGTGACTTTTATAGATAATAAACATAAACTATGAAGCGAAAATACTTCGGTTCGTGGTGCCCGTTAAATACTGCGCCACGTACGGAGACTTCAATCCGTTTTTACTAGTTTCTACGAAACCTCTCCTCCGCGACATTTGCCCTTTCGAGCGGATGTGGCCGCGGCCCTCTGATAAAACTTTTACTGACTCGTAACAGTCGAATACCTAGAAAATATTTAAATACTAAATTATACCAGTACTCCTAATCTCACTTCAGTATCCTGACTAGTAAATTGTTACGTACAGTGACTCGCGAAAGTATTCGAACACTTGGTACGAAATACTTTATTAATTATAATAGGTATATTATATAACATTTACATGAAATATTATTAACACTGTAAGGAGGTACGACTCTGCAGATTATATAGGTAAAGTTTCAAACAAATCGAAATATTTAAACAATAGATTTGAATTATTTCTTGTAAACATAGAGTAGATTGCTGAAGACACAAAAGTATTCGAACACACAAGAATGAGTTCCAAGAATCAATGAAAACTTAGTTTTTCGGTCACTAAATGTAAACATTGATTGTTGTTAGTCATCATGGTACATACATTTCTCGGTCTGAGTCTAGCATTCATTGCGAAATAGTACGATATTGATCACGTGTAGACTGCGGATTTTTATGCGTTTATAGGAAATTTGAATGCGCAAGAAACTACAAAATGCAAACGATATGAAAGAATATAAAAAAGATTGAAAGTAAAGTTCATGTTATAATATTTGCAGAATGAAATAAATTCTTATTTAAGTTAAATTTTTGTAGGCACGTTCGCGAAGATTTTACTTTAAAATCCGCAGTCTAATCATGTGTCTTCAGCGATCTACTCTATGTTTACAAGAAATAATTCAAATCTATTGTTTACATTTGTCAATTTGTTTGAAACTTTACCTATATAATCTCCAGAGTCGTACCTCCTTACAGTGTTAATAATATTTCAGTGTTATATAATGTATCTATTATAATTAATAAAGTATTTCGTACTAAGTGTTCAAATACTTTCGCGAGTCGCTGTATGCCTGCGTGCAAACGCTGCTCAAAATACGAAAAACAGAAAATTACGTGATCCGTGTTCGAGATATCCGTGAACAGGTCACAACTAGTTTTACGAATCACAGGAATTGGCGGTAAACGGATCCACGCTCGACTCGCTTTCAGATGAACGTGAAAGAAGACGATTTTCTGCTTAGTAGTCCATGACGGATGTTTTTCATTTTTTTCTTTACGAGCCATGATTCCCCGTTGTTGGTGTTTCTTTTTTCTCCTTAGATCTTCTCACGTTATCGATTAGCCGCGAAG